CCCCAACAGCTAGTTTATAGCCGTTGAAAAGTGACCGTTGGGACAGGAACCGGCATGTCCGGTGCCAGGCACCGCCGTGTCCGGTGCCCTCACAGAAGGCTGCTCCAAATGGGTAACGGCTCTATTTGCTTGTGGGCTTATAAATAGAGCTAGTGGCCAGCCTTGGCCACTCTCTTGGCACTTCTAACAGCTGTATACACCCTTTGAGAGTTTAGCACACCACTTCACTCACTTGCACACTTGATTTCATCATCTTGAGTGAGATTGGAGAGCCTCTAGTGCATTGCTTAGTGTTCTAGCATCTTGTGGCACTAGTTGGGCAATTTGGGCTGGTGGAGTTCTTGTTACTCTTGGTGTTTGCCGACACCTAGATGGCCTGGTGATTGGTGGATCGTTGAGCAGCTACTGGTGATTATTGTCGGCTTCGATCATTAACATTGTGAGGGGTTCTTGTGCCTTCCCCATGGGAGATCATGAAAGGCAACTCTAGTAGATTGTGCATGGCTTGTGTGATCCTCATCTTGTGTTGGTTGTGCGACACCCTATTGAGGTTTTGGTGTGTGATGCTAATTAGCGCGTGAACCTCCAAGTGAGGGAATCGCCACAACGAGGACTAGCTTGCCAGCAGGCAAGTGAACCTCGGTAAAAAAATCATTGTCATAATTTGATCCCGAGGTGATTGGTCTTCATTGGTATTTATTCTTGTGATTGATTGGCTCCTTTGGTGATTGACTCATTCCTCTACACAGCAGTATAACACTCCTTCATTCCCACGCATTTACATTTCTTAGTGCAGCTTGGCCCTTTAGTGTAGCTAGTTTTGAGGACAAGCAAGAGTCGTGTCTAGTGGTTAGTGATGCTCTTTAGTTAGTGTTTGAGAGCTCACTAATTTAGGGTAGTGACATAGCCTTTTAGTGCTTATAGGCAATAGCAACTAGAATTTTGGTAGGTGTCTTGCATTCTTAGTAGGCCAGTGCAACATTCGCTTCGTCTCATATTTGTCTAACTGCTTTGTGTAGTGTTGTTGTAGAAATTTTATAGGCTATTCACCCCCATTTAGCCATTAAGACCTTTCAGAGGACATGCAGATACTATGGGGAGAAGGGGTCAAGATGATGGATGCGTCCCTAAAGAAAGAGTTCACTCTAAAAGCCATCATCTTTGTCACCATCACTGATTACCCTGGTTTTTTTTCACTGTCGGGGCAGATCAAAGGTAAGTCGGGTTGCGTAGTTTGCATTGACAATACCTGCTACACTTACCTTAATGCGTCTAAGAAGATGGTGTACATGAGGCATAGGCGATTCCTCATCAAAAAGCACAGGTACTGGGCAGCTACGATGAATAAGTACTTCAACAACTAGGACGAGCCTCAAATTGACAAGCCGGAAAGGACGAGGTACGGGCAAAAGGTGTTTGGCATGGTGAAGGGCATAGACGTTGAGTTCGAAAAGAAGAAGAAAGAGGAAGATGGGACCACGACAAGCAAGAAGAGGAAGCGGGATAAGATGGAGGAACCACCTGTCATCCCCGTTCCTTTCAAGAAGCAGTCATGTTTCTTCAAGTACCTGTCGTACTGAAAGGAACTAGAAACACCCCATGCCATCGACTGGATGCACCTCGAGAAGAATGTCTTCGAAAGCACCATTGGCATCCTGCTAGACATCAAGACTAAGACGAAGGAGGGTCTGAAGTCACGGATGGATCTTGTCAACCAGGACATCAGGACCAAAATTCACCCGACACCGGCGACGCAGAGCGGGAAAGTCGACCTTCCGAGCGCGAGCTACAACCTGACGAGAGATGAGAAGAGGGCTGTGTGCCAGTGGCTTAGGGGTTCAATATTTTCAGTTCCAAATTCAATATTTTCAGTGCATTCCAAATTTTCCAGTGATATTTCATTATTGCATACTTACTAGCATTGAAATATGCAAATATGCAGATTTATGCTATCATTTCTTTGGAAGTACTCGCAACTGATCAGGTACATGTCCATACGCCACTTAACATGGCTTTTTTGTTAATTCAATCTTGAAACGTTTTATGTGCATACTCTGATATTCTGTGTTATCTGTTCGAGAAAAAAAAATATTATGTATTATCAACCAGTTGTTTCTCTCAGGGGAAGGCACAAGGTTTTATCGCAACCGTAGAGTCTGTGGCTAGAATGTTGGCACCACTTTTAATGAACGCACTAACATGTGAGCAATCACCTTTTGTATCAACTTGGAAAATTCCAGCATTTAATTTCTTAGGGACCTTACACACTACATTCTGTATTTGATCACACCTTTTTTTTTGGCTCCTCTGTTTCAGCTTGCTTCATTTCACAGGAAGCCCCCTTCAATTGCAAAGGTTTCAGTTTCCTTATGGCTGCTTTGGTCCTGGTGGGTTCTTTTGCTCTCCTAGTATGATTGAAATGCGATAATAAAGTGATGCAATATATTTATATCTTTGGATTCTGGAATATGAACCACCAATAGATTCCTTCTTTTCTAAATATTTATACAGGCTACGTCCTTATGCTTTGCTTGGACACTTCATCCCAAAAGAAAGGATAAATCCCGAGAAGTTCCAAATTCAAATGACCCTGATGAGGAAGCATTGCAAGCACCACTATTATCTTGATGGCCAAAACTATGAATCCACGAAATTGAACAAGAGCTTTCAACCAAATGGAAGTCAATAGTGTCTCTACTCATCACATTAGCTAAATTAGCCGTCAAATCCAATATAGGGTTCATATAATAGATTTCGTACATACACTAGAAGGCAGCTGTAAACCTGTAATGATTGAATGGTCTAATCATGTACTTCATTTCTGCAAATGAATTTAGAACCCAAATCAATTATTAGCATCCCCAGTATATAAATGTAGTTGCTTTGCATGGAGTGATGGATTCATATGTGACACTTTGAATGTGCTTATTTAGTTTGCAACATCAAGTTGATCCATATTGTGAAACTATGGCTCTAGCTAGGAGTGGATAACTTTAGAGCAAGATGATGAAGAACTCGTCCCTAGTACGTTGCAAGTTAATTAATCCTCCTCGTGCTCCTCCCATACCTCGCAAAAAACAATCTTCATCTCAAGTTACAACGGTAACGGAGCTTAGAAGGCGAGCATCGTGACCAGGGTTGATATTAGTGATCTACAACACGTGGGTCGGGCTCCCGTACTCCTCAGGCTCTTGGGATTTGTGTGCAAGTCGGGGCGGAGGGCCATGCTTGAGAGACCTGCAAGCAAGATGGCTACTGTGCGGTAGGAATTAGGGACATCATGGATCTCCTTCTACTCTCTCTCTCTTCTAAATTATAAGTTGTTCTAATTTTTTATGCACATAGCTTTAGCTATGCACCTAGTTATATATTATGTCTACTTACGATAACCTAAAAAAACAACTTACAACCTAGAACGGAACTTAGAATCGATAATGGTACGCCACGGGCGTCCGCCCCATCCGTACACGCTCTAAAAAAAACTCCTCACATGTGGCCATCCACTCGTCCCACTCTCCACTCGTCCCACTCCCCGTGGCGCCTCCATCCCGTGCCATCCCCTGCGGCGCCTCCGCTGGCCTTCTTCCTGTCCCCTGCCCGGTCAGAGCTCCCCGCTGACCCCTTCTTCCCGACCCCGCCTGACCGTCGGCAGCCGCCTGCGCCTGCAGCTGTCCCCTTCCTCCCGGCAGAGCTCGGCGGCGGCCTAAACCCATTGCTGACATGTCCCCGCCTTCCTCTCTGCCCGCCTGCAACAACGACAGCCTGTAGTGTGGGCAAAGCTTGCCTGTGGCCTGTCCCCGCCGCCCCCTCCGCTCGCCTCGAGAAGGGGTCGCGACGGCGCTGCCCTCCGCTTGCCCATTCCCCGCTCTGTGCTGCGTCATACGAAAGAAGGGTGAAAAACGCTGGAAGCATATGTTTCTAAGTGTTTCAGATATTTCACAGGTATGTTGCAAGTGTTTCATGCGGATGTTGCAAAAGTAGATCGGGATGTTGCATATGTTGCAATGGTTTTACACATATATTGCAAGCTTCCGTTCTCAATGTTTTATCGGTTTTTTTAGACATACGTTGTAAGTGTGTTTATTTAGATGTTGCATATGTTTCACATATGTTACAAGTGCTTTGTCTTCATGTTGTGTATATTTTATGATGGTTTCCCAGTGTATTTCATTTGTTTTTGCAAGCGTTTCAAATGCATGTTTCAAGTGTTTCGTCTGTCTTCAAACATACGTTGCAAGTGTTGTATCTGGATGTTTCAAAAGTACATCGGGTATTGCATCTCTCTACTCGCTTTCTGCTACCTCGCATCGGTGTCTCCTCCTCTCAACGCCGGCTGGGCATCCGCCACCGCCTCCCCCTCTTCTTGATGCTGGAGACGTTCGGGGCAGCGCAGACCTATGTGGGTTGTTCGGCTGATGATTTTTGCGGTTGATAAGACGGCTAGAGCCGATTTGTTATTACAGAAAAATATTGACGTCCCGGCTCTTCCACAAGCTGAGCAGTTCCGGACATGACGTAAGCATCCGTCACGGACTCACGGTGCACCAATGGAAAAAAAAACAAATAAAAATACCGCCAAACCCCGTTCCCGGCTCCCGCCTCCCCTACGCGCCACCTCCCTGCCATCCTCGCGTCCGGCGCCGCCTGCCTCCTCCTGCGCCTCGTCGGCTCGTCCCTTTCCTCCGCCTCCCCGGACACCGAATTTCTTCTCCGTCAGCTCTGGCGGCAGCGCCACAGCGCACCCTCCTCCTCGTAACTTGTAAGGTCTAGTCTCCGTGTACTGGCCCTCGTCGGCGGCGGGAGGTCGGAGACTGTGGCGCCGGAAGGGAGGTCACGCGCGCGAGAGGGTACAGACAGCAAGTAAAAGTCAACTGAAGGTCCGTTTGATCTCAATCCATTACCTGAATTTACTTTACTGCCTGCTCGACATGGCACTCGACCCCCTCTGTCCTTTTTTAGCTCCACCTGCTACGTTCAAGGGAAGGGAAGGACATCTGGAGATGGGTTGCCTTGGAGGCGACGAGATGAGAGTTGTGATGAGGCCGTTGCTGCACCTCCTGGTAGGGATGGCGCTGTACGGGGTCGCCGAGGAGATGATCGTGACTGCACTCGTCGACAAGGTCACCACCGCGCTCTGCCCCCTCACCCTCACTGCTACCAGCTCTGCCTCGACGCCCTGCTCTGAGGCTATCTACCTCACCGGCCTTCAGTCCTCGGTATGTATGTCTCTATACGATTTTGGTTTGTGCACTATTGTTTCCATTATAACAACTTGGTTTCTCTAGGAAAAGAAAGTGCTAACGCAACACGAGTGAAAGCGAAACACATTAAGCTGCCTTACGAATCTTGCCAAAAGCCACAAGCGCTCAACAAAATGTCAAAGGAGCAATACCATATACAGATCTTACTGCAGAGCGTATGTAAATCTTGGATATATGTTAGGACTTCTTTTATTGACCCATTAATTGAGCACCATTGGGCCCTGTTCGCTTGTCTTATCAGCCGTATTTTTTCAGCGAAGGAACAGTGTTTTTTTCTCACACCAAATCAGTGAATAGTACTTTTCAGCTTGTCTGGAATCTGTCTATCTTTTTTTTAGGGGAATCTGTCTATCTATATCGCCTGAGTACACATCCTTCCGTACCAGTGTTTTCTTTGTAGTTAGTTACTAAAACGACCATTGAGGGATGTAGTTGGTGAAATTATGCTATCAGAATTACGTGGTGATCATTGAGGGATGTTTCTGCTTTGGCATCAGAACAGTTGGTATAGGAAATCTGTTTGTTTCCTGAAGCATATAGTGTTTCTTTGGGCCAAGTACAATAATTCAGCTAAACAAGTAAACATTGAAACAGGATAAACAAATTCATTTGTGCTGGTTATTTGTTTTTTCTGGAAATCAAGTTTCAGTTCAACGTAATTGGGCGCATGTTTGCTCACCTTATAACTGATTGCAGGTTGGGGGCATTTTCAGGACTATAGGGCTCACTCTGATGGGTCAGCTAGCAGATGAATATGGCCGCAAGCCTATCCTCCTCCTCTCTGCCTCCACCTCCATAATACCATTTGGTAATTTTCCGATTTGTTGTCTCAGCTACTAATGTGATCCCTTCAATTTGTAGGCCACACTACTAGTCACACTAGACAATGCATATGGATTCAGTTTCAATTTGACCATGGAGCACGTCTATGCCTGTTCCTTTCAGTAAAGTGTTAATTTGTCCATAGGAATTTTTTGCGTTAAACCATTTGACCATTTGATGTGGATGTTAATTGGTGTTCATGCCTGCAGCTCTGCTTGCATGGAAAAATTCAAGGACTACTGTGCATGTCTACCTTGTTATGCGTACTTTCTCATACATGATCGGCCAAGGAACCATAATATTTTTTGCAGTTACATACACGGTGAGAAATAGTTTCAACTTTTTCTCCATTGTAGAAAAAAATGGCATGTCAGTGGTTTAACTGCTCCCGTATTGTCAAGTGAAGTCTGCTAATGCATCTTTTTTTTTCAAAGGTAAAATCATTTTTTCTTTTCTTTTTACATGAACTATTGCCTTGACTGAAGTTGGTGACTAGATGGAACCTAGTTACCTTATGTTTTCAATGTCACTAATTAAGTAATTAAAATAATAAACTACAAAAAAATCAACAATATTTGATACTTGAAAGACAATAAGATTCTTCAAGTGGCACTGTTTGTGAATAATTGAATATATCTGATACAAACAGACGGAAGTGTACCACTATACATTTGTTTCGTTGTTTGTGAATAAACATACACAATCTGACAGTCTAAAATGTTCTCGTAAATTAGGCGGATGTGGTTGAACCATCAAAGAGGGCAGCTGCCTTTGGTTTCCTGACAGGAATTTTCTCTGCTTCACACGCTTTAGGAAATATCTGTTCAAGGTTTCATCCTGAGAGTTGGATTTTTCAGGTATCAATATTTTGAGTTATTTATGTTTAGTCGCATCATATTGTTAATTATTTTATTCTTCTATGCAAGTTTCAGTTTATAAGTTCAGACCATGGTTTTTCAGGTATAAGTTGTTTTGTCAGTTTTGTAAGACATAATCTGCTGCTCCCTATTTGAACTGGTCGGCTAAGCTGTCCACTCCCTGATTAGGAGTTGAAACTGGTCGGCTCAGCTGTCCAGTCCCTGCTGCTGTTGTAGTAAGGGAGTAGGAATAGCTTACTTCAGTCATATAGTGTAGAGATGGCTGAGCTAAGTCTTGTACCTTAGAAGTAGGTAGTTGGTGTACCTTATGAGTAGGTAGTTGGTGTACTCACCAACAACTACGTACCTGGTAGAGGTACCAAGCACCTGTATATATATGTTATACCAAGGCAATACAACAAATCAGTTCAGTTTGCCACATCCAGAAGCAGAGCTTTCGGCCAGTGCTGGGCTTGTGCTGTGTGTGAGAGCTGTTCTCAATATCTTTTTCTATCTCTAGCCACAGTAAGTGAGTGTGCTGGTAAGCTTACTGCTTACCTGTGCAGGACAGCCGAGGGACCAACAAGTGGTATCAAAGCCGTACAACGCTGTCGCCGGACTAACCGCTTGCGATGACGGACGGTTCGAAGATGGGCGACAGCAGCGGCGCTACTGTGGCTGCCCAGCCACGACATGAGGTCATCGTGCGTATGGTGCGGGAGGTCAGCGGTACCAGTTTGCCGACACTGACTCGCACCAACTATGGCGAGTGGACGGTGATCATGAAGGTCAAGCTCAGAGCCCGACGGCTCTGAAATGCCATTGACAAGGGCACCGACAACAAACAAGACGACATGTCAGCATTGGAGGCTATCCTCGCTGCTATACCGGCGGAGTACAGGGAGCCGTTGGGGGTGACAAACTCTGCTAAGGAGGCATGGGAGGCCATTGCAGCGATACGCATCGGCTCCGACCGCACAAAGAATGCGATAGCCCAGCTGCTGAAGTAGGAGTATGTCACCCTCAAGTTCAAGGATGGTGAGTCGGTGAAGGACTTCTCCCTCCGCCTGCAGTCGCTCATCAGCAAGCTGAGGAGCCACGACGTCACCATCAACGAAGAAGAGACGGTCTCTAAGTACTTCCACTCCGTGCCGGTGAAGTACATACAAATCGCTCTCTCCATAGAGACGATGCTGGACCTGTCCACCCTCACCATTGAGGATGTGACAGGCCGTCTACGGGCGGTGGATGAGCGCATGGAGCAGGCCACAACAACGATGGACAGCAGCGAGTTGCTACTGACAGAGGAGGAGTGGGCTGCCCGGATGAAGGAGAAGAAGTTCGGGGAAGCCTCCTCCAGCCGCGGTGGCGATGGCAAGCGCTATGGCAAGGCTTCTTCGGAGAAGAAGAAGAAGAAAAAGGTCGACCCCAACCCCTGTCGACGCTGCGGGAAGACAGGCCATTGGACAAAGGAGTGCTCAAATCGCAAGCAGGAAAAGAAGGCTGAGGCTCATCTGGCATAGGCTGATGATGATGATGAGGCCACTCTCCTGATGGCTACGTTCTGTGCTCTGCACGACATTGAGGCTAAGGAGAAGGGAGAGGTGACGGTGTTGGAGGAGCATGGGAAGGCTCTGAAGGCTGTCAACCTCGATGAACCACGCACCCAAGTCCACCTCGAACATGTGGGCGGCGAGCAGGAGCAGCAATGGTACCTAGACTCTGGCGCCAGCAACCACATGACGGGCTACAAGGCAGCCTTCTCCGAGCTCGACGGCAACGTGACCGACACGGTGAAGTTCAGTGACGGCTCAAGGGTGGCGATCCGAGGGCACGACACCATCATCTTCAGGTGTCAGAACGGCGAGCACCGCGCGCTGACGGATGTATATTACATCTCGCAGCTATGTTCAAGCATCATTAGCATTGGTTAGCTAGATGAGCGTGGCAGCGAGGTACTGATCAAGGACAGTGTCCTCAGGATCTAGGACCGGGAGCAGCGGCTTCTTCCAAGGTGAAGAGGTCCTGGAACCTACTGTACCTGCTTGACTTGAAGGTGGAGCAGCCCATCTGCTTTGTTGCACAGCGTACGGAGGAGCCATGGCTGTGGCATGCCCGGTATGGCCATCTCAGTTTCGATGCTCTTGGTCGGCTAGAGAAGATGGTGACTGGGCTGCCTCACATCGAGCACGCCGGCGAGCTATGTGACAGCTGCCTGGCCAGGAAGCGAAGAAGGCTGCCGTTCCCGAAGACGGCAAAGTACCGCGCAGCTGAGGCCCTTGAGCTAGTCCATGGTGACCTCTGTGGGCCAATCACGCTGGCAACGCACAATGGGCGCAAGTACTTCATTCTGCTCGTGGATGAATGCAGCCGCTACATGTGGCTGCAACTCCTGACAAGCAAGGGCAAGGCGGCAGAGGCGATCAAGAGGTTCAAGGCGCGTGCGGAGGCCAAGAGCAGGAAGAAGCTGCGCGTGCTAAGGACGGATCATGGCGGTGAGTTCACCTCGGTGGAGTTCGCCGCGTACTACGCGGATCAAGGGGTGGTGCGTCACCACACCGCGATGTACACGCCACAGCAGAATGGCATGGTGGAACGACGAAATCAGACGGTGGTCGGCATGGCGAGGTCGATGATGAAGGCCAAAAGCTTGTCGGCAAAGTTCTGGGGGGAGGCGGTGACCACAGCGGTGTTCATCCTCAACCGCACGCCCACCAAGGCCCTGAAGGGCAAGACGCCGTTCGAGGCTTGGCATGCACGCAAGCCGAATGTGTCCTTCCTCAGGACATTTAGCTGCGTCGGCCATATGAAGAACACCAAGCCTCACCTCAGCAAGCTAGAAGACAAGAGCACGCCGGTGGTGCTCCTAGGCTATGAGGAGGGCACCAAGGTGTATAGGCTCTATGATCCCAAGGGAGGCAAGGTGATGATCTCTAGGGATGTGGTGTTCGATGAGATGGCGGCCTAGGACTGGGAGGGTTCGGGCACTGGGGAAGCTGGCAGCTTGAGCAGCACCTTCATCGTCGAACACATAGTCATCCACGGTGGTGGAGACGCTGGAGAAGACGTGCCGACCACCCCAGGAGTGGTGCCGAGCGGTCCAGCAGCAATGCCGACCACTCCAGAGGGGGTGCCGAGCACTTCAGCAGCAGTGCCGAGCGCTCCAGCAGTGGAGCCGACCACTCCAGGATTGGTGCCGACCGCTCCAGCAGTAGATCTGACCACTCCAGGAGTGGTGCCGAGCGGTCCAGCAGCAATGCCGACAACTCCGGCAGTGGTGCCGAGCGGTCCAGCAGCGATGCCGACCACTCCGGCCGAACTGGGAGGCTGGGGACCACCGATCGAGTTCACCTCCCCTCCAAGCGACATCAGCGAGTTTGTGGATGCCTTCCATGATGGCGAGGAGGTGTGGTTCCACAGGCTGGACAACATCATCGGCAATGCAGGGGCCACAGGCCTAGCGAGTCGGCTATTCGATGATCTTGAGCTGCTGCTTGTTAGTGCCGAGGAGCCACCGACGTTTGTAGTGGCTGAACGTGATGCCAATTGGCGAGGAGCGATGTTGGAAGAGATGAAGGCCATCGAGGACAATGGCACATGGGAGCTGGTAGATCCACCGGTGGGCTGCAGGCCGATTGGCTTGAAGTGGGTCTACAAGGTGAAGCAGGACGAGCGCGGCGCCATTGTCAAGTACAAGGCTCGGCTCATCGCCTACGGCTTCGTACAGTGTGAGGGCATCGACTTCAAGGAAGTCTTTGCTCCAGTGGAGCGAATGGAGTCCATTCGTCTGCTGTTGGCCATGGCAGTAGCGAAGAATTGGCACATCCACCACCTCGACATCAAGTCTATGTTCCTCAATGGCGAGCTCGCAGAGACGGTCTTCGTCAAGCAAGCTCTGGGCTTCGCCGTCAAGGGCGCTGAGCACAAGGTGCTCAAGCTATGCAAGGCGCTCTACGGGCTGCGGCAGCCTCTCGGGCGTGGAACGCTAAGCTCGACACCACCTTGGGCGAGCTTGGGTTCACTCACTGCGCTACGGAGCATGCACTCTACACGTGGCGACGGGAGAAGAAGGAGCTCATCGTCGGCGTGTATGTGGACGACTTGATCGTCACTGGAGTGCGGACGGAGGACATTGACGACTTCAAGCACGAGATGGCTGCTCGTTTCAAAATGAGTGATCTCAGCGTGCTCTCCTACTACCTCGACATTGAGGTGAGACAGGGGAAGGATCACATCTCCCTAGGCCAGCGCGCCTATGCGGAGAAGCTGCTGGAGCTCAGTGGCATGGCCGAGTGCAAGCCGTGCGCAACTCCAATGGAGGAGCGGCTGAAGCTGTCCAAGCACAGCATGGCGGCGAAGGTGGATGCGACGTGCTACCGGAGCATCATCGGCGGGCTGCGTTACCCCACGCATACCCGGCCGGACATCGCGTTCACGGTCGGGTACGTCAGCCGTTTCATGGAGGACCCGCTTGAGGATCACTGGTCGGCAATGAAGAGGCTGCTGCGCTACGTCAAGGGGATGCTCGATCAAGTGATCATCTTCCCCAAGAGTGGTGGCAAGGGTGGGTTGCGGCTCACGGTCTTCAGTGAGGCACCCCCAAGGCAAAGGAAGGTGAGCCGGAGCTCACTGTCTTCAGTGATGCGGGCATGGCGAGCGTCATTGATGGACGACGGAGCAACTCCGGCGTGCTCGTCTTCCTTGGAGTGGCCCCAATGCTTGGTAGTCGCTGAAGAAAAAGATCGTGGCGCTGTCGACGTGTGAGGAGGAGTACGTCGCAGTAGCCACGGCAGCGTGCCAGGCTATCTAGCTGCGTCGGCTGCTGGGCGAGCTGACCGGCGAGGAAGCTCACCCGCTAGCTCTGATGGTAGACAACCAGCCCGCTATCGCCCTCGCCAAGAATCCTGTCCTCTACGACCGGAGCAAGCATATCGACATCAAGTTCCACTTCCTCCGGGACTGCATCGATGGAGGGCAGATCGTCATCGAGTTCGTCGAGACCGGCAGACAGCTCGCTGACATTCTCACCAAGTCACTTGGGCGCCTGCGGTTCATGGAGCTGAGGAAGATGATTGGTATGGATGAGGTCAAGGCATCGGGTTAGCAATAGGATTAGGGAAAGAATTATAAGACATAATCTGCTGCTCCCTATTTGATCTGGTGGGCTAAGCTGTCCACTCCCTGATTAGGAGTTGGAACTGGTCGGCTCAGTTGTCCAGTCCCTGCTGCTGTTGCAGTAAGGGAGTAGGAATGGCTTACTTCAACCATGTAGTGTAGAGATGGCTGAGCTAAGCCTTATACCTTAGGAGTAGATAGTTGGTGTATCTTAGGAGTAGGTAGTTGGTGTACTCACCAATAACTACGTACCTGGTAGAGGTAGCAAGCACCTGTATATATGCTATGCCAAGGTCATATAGCAAATCAGTTCAGTTTGTCACATCTAGAAGCAGAGCTTTCGGTCAGCGCTGGGCTTGTGCTCTGTGTGTGTGAGCTGTTCTCAATATCTTCTTCTGTATCTGGTGGAAACAATTCAAAGAGCTCCCTCTGCGCCTTGTCAGCGTTTGGATTTGTCATCTTTGATTGTTAGTTTACCGCAGCAAATGTGGAACTCTATGAAGGAGAACATTAGTATAATCAAAAATAGGTAAGGCTTCTGCGGACAATACATAGTTGACTTTATAATTAAAGAAGTTGAATACTCAAGGAATTCATGAAATTTCATGTCAAATACTATAAGAAGTTTAGGTCACCCTCCTAGTTCTCATAGAACAAATATTGATAATAAACTTGTATTTGAACGATTAACAACAATAATGACTTGTCCCAGAAATATTTGCAAAGGTATTTTTCTATGTGGCGTTTTTTTAACAAAAAAGTATGTATAAAGTTTTATATGAGTTCATAAATATCTATCATGAAAGTTCTGTCAGAGTTTAAGTGAAACTTCTTCCTTCATTCAATCATTCATGAAGGGACTACAGGAACGAGAAGCAGACTTACTGATTCCATTAAGAATAAGGCAGTACTTACTTATCTATTCATGCTCGGAAACTTTACAATGACAATCAATTAGTTTTCAAGTCAGCCAGTGGTTTGCATCTGCTAATGCAATTTTTGTTAAACTTCCTTGTTTTATTGTGTTTATAGTGAAACACTTAGGCGAATCTCAGTCATTTCTTTCTTCTATGAATTGGGAATGATGGGCATCAATGATGTCCTTCTGGTAATTATTTTCTTGCTTTCTACTTCATGACAGTGTTCTGTTTTGTTCTGTACTTTTGAGGTCACATCCCCTCCTCTTAATGAAACACGTGCATAGTACGTTCTCTAAAAAGCTTCATGACAGTGTTTAAAAGAATTGTGCACTTGATTTCATTTTTTCAGTACTACCTGAAGTCAGTATTTGGCTTTGACAAGGATCAGTTCTCAGAAATTCAAATGGTGGTAGATATTGGTTCGATCTTTTCCCAGGTGAAATTTTAGTTTTAACTAGTACCCTGTTGGCCACCATAATTTTTAATGGCTTAGTATCATTTGTTAGATTTGCAGCTTGCGATACTGTTTCTAAATTGCAGATTTTGGTCCTCCCTCTTCTTAGCCGCACAATTGATGGAAAAGGAGTATTATGCATTTCAATACTCACATCAATTGCCTATGTGAGTTATTGCTCCGGGATCCTTTGCTATGTTTTCAATCTAAGGTATACTATTGCAAAATTCAGTTTATCGATTTCTGAAGAAAAATTGTTCTGCAGGCTTTTCTTAATGGTGTTGCATGGGCTTGGTGGGTATGTATTTGAGCTTGGAGATGCATTGTGATGGGTTTATGTGGTACAATTGCAAAAAATTGTTTTGTGTAACTTGCATCTGTTTTGCAAGGTGCCTTATATTTGCTCTACGCTGGGTGTCATCTGTGTTCTGGCCAAACCAGCTGTAAGTCAATCTTGTATTTTGGTTCTGAGTTGTGGTATGGAACAAAAAATTCGTGGTTACAATTTCACAGAAGGATGTTCTATGACTAAAACTGTCTCAGCATCAAATTCGTCACTTACATATTCAGTGTGTTCCAATGCTATTTGTGCATGCATGTGGAAAATATGCAAATCTACAAAGTTTCATGGTTAAAAATTATCTGAAGGAAGGAACTGGCTGAAACTTTTGCAGCACCAATTCATGCATCATATCCTCTCTGCATTCAAGTGATACTTGTACACTTACTTGCGTCATAAATACTAGCCACTGCTGCCCGCGCTTCGCTGCGGGTGATGTGCTTGGTATACGTGGCTCATATGTCTAATATGTTTTCTCATCGCGTTGGTACAAAAAGTTGGTCTATTTGGTACATTAAACGGGTAAATATGGGAAGGAAAGGTAACATGGTTTTTTTATTACAATGTTGTAAACGAACATAGAGGTTGGTTGTCATTACATGGTGCCTATTGTAGGCCAGCAAATCAATGGCATATTAGTGGAAAGAAGTATTTGATGGAGTTGGGCTCAAGCAACCAAGACACTTAGATTCGAAGCACAACATTGGCTAGGATTACATTATAGGTGGAAAGAGCAAAAACTACAACACAAGTATGTCTCATAACGCGAGGGTTTACAAAAGAGTGAATTAGGATCCACTCCCCTTAGGCGAAACTACAACACATTTCGTAAATCTGAAATCACACGAAAGATTACACGGCGTCGAACACTAAATTACACCAGGATTTAAAGTTACATGGTCAGGCGCAACCTAGTACAACCAAGGCTTACTCCAGAAGTCGGGATAGACGAGGGCAATGGAGAAACAACAAGATAATGATTATCCAAAACATGGCGTATGACCAACAGATCCAGAAACAGGAGACTGAGAAGTCAAACATCGTGAACCCTAAGACCAAACTAACCAACGGTAGACTTGAACTTCTTTGAAAACTAGATCCCTTCTTCTCAGATTACACCATCACCTCTGTCAGACGAACCTAGTTCCACAATGACGACTGGATCTCGTAGCTCTGCTTTGGATTCGAGAGGGATGAGGATGGAGGAGAAGAGCATGGACCAAGGCATCTTATAGTGGCGAACGGAGATGTGGCGCAGCGCATCGGAAGTGGAGACGGCATGGATGGGATACACTGTTGGTTCATGCTATGGGAATACAGCCGGCCATGGCGTGCTTCCTGCGCAAGCGAGCGGAGGGGGGGAATAAAGGAGAGGAGAGAGGGTTCGCTCGATGAGGGAGGAGTGCGGGCGGCCTTGTCCCCAAAAGAAGAAAGAAGGGAGGGGGTCCGGTACGGGGATGAGGGCGAGTATCAAGAGCGGACCGGAGGCCGAGAAAAGTAGAGGCGCACAATGCGCGAGGACGGCGAGTGCGGCATGATGTCGCGGCCATGCGAGGACAGGGTGCTAATGGGCCCGACACCGATGGCGTGCGCGGGGCACGCGGTGATAGCGACCCGACGTGCGTAAGTTGGTAAAGTTGCCTAGTTAAATGCTTATGGTGCCACGACGAAACAGAGGGCCCCTGTGGAACAGCTACCACATGTCGAGGCTGCTCGGCACGCGCTGGTATAGAGGTGGCTAACCAGGCACCTTTTCCAAGTTACACCACCGTATCGCTCTCGCAACAGAATATTCTCCTTTGAAAAAATATCCTTGTGTTCTAACGGAAAATCCACAACGGGTTGATGAAGTAGTGCTTTTTCGAAGTAACTGGGTTAATACAGTTTCTGAAGAAAGAGAAGAGCAACAAGGAAAAGTTAGTATTCGAGTAGTCTGGAGTGATTGAAATGCTTAAATTGACGCCATGTCCCAATCCCAATGTCTGGTTTGACCACGCTACGCACGCATTGACACCTGCGAACGCTGTCGAGACCGGGACCCACTTGCATTCAGCTCTCATTTGGCTATGCCGCACTCGCCTTGTTCACTCGCACAGTTCGTTTTCTCTCCTTTTCCCGCACTTTGTCGGCTCTCGCCCTCGCCCCCATACCAGACCCGTCCCTTTTCTTCTTTTTGGGCACGGCAGCTCGCACACCTCCTCGTCGAGCGAACCCCTCTCCCCTCCTTTTTCCTCCCTCCACCCAAGCTCATGCAGGGAGCACACCATGGCCAACGCTCTCCCTACCTCGTGACCCGCCAATGTTTCCCTTCCATGCCGCCTGCACTTCCCTGTTGCTTGGGTGCGCCCGAGTTAGCTACATTTACTCCACACCAATGCAACAAGCAAAGTGCACAGCAGACCGCGTGGAAATTAAAGCAGCGCGCACCGTCAGTGGCTACTCACCCGCGCTCCTTTCCCCGCACACTGGTGCCGTCCTCTCAGCGTCACGCCGCTGTCTCTTCTGCATCGCCACCCACCGCACGTCACACCACCTCCCCACGACACCGCTCGTGATGTCACCTCCATTGGCCCGATGCTACCGCTGTTGTCCCCTACAAACCTGATTCCCTCAGGCCCCGATGTTACTCAGTGCCGACGATAATGGCGTGCACCCACCCTCTAAACCCGCCTTCAACCGCCTATGAAAAGCCCCCCTGGCTCCCCCTTCACAACAATACACTCCACACTCAACATCAATCACCCGCATAAGCCCCCTATCCAAATGCCAACCTATTTCAACATTTTTAGAAAAAGCATAATCTGCAGCAACTACCAAGTAAATTACCGAAATGAAGAAAACATGCATGAGGTCCAGAACAACATGATTCTGTCAACAATAGCACAAATCCACATAGCATGCATTCAACAATCACTAATATAAAATTAAGTAAAAGTAAATGGGCACGTCAGTGCACTATTCAACACAACAGTGACAACACAGGGGTCCATCGATACAAGTTGATACTGATAGTTAATATCATCGAATCTGGTACTGTTGCTAAGACAAAGATGGAAGTAGAACAATATGGAGGACAAGTGTCCAGAAAAGAAGATCTCTGGACTCCATCTGCAATCCTCGACAGCATATCAATTTTATTCAGGTTTCGCCTGCAAATTTTGATCGAATTGTTGTCAGTTCAGCTATGTTTGCTATTAACAAGTACAGAAAATAAGAATAGAATCATTTTACATCAGGAGAGCGTGAGCCAGATGGGCTCCTGCTTGGACTCTGCTTCTTGGGGCTTGCTGCTTCACCATTTGCGGGCTATATAGACATTTTAGCAGATATAAAATTAAGCAACAAAAATAACAAAAAAATATTATCAAAATGATGAAGGGAACTTACAGAAGCATTAGGAGATTTGGATCTTGCTGGTGATCTGCAAAACGTTCTAGAAACAACTGATTCAATATACAAAATGCATCTTTAACAACTTGGTTCCAAAAGCCATGACGCCGCGTAGAATGAAAGCAATAAAAGCTCACGAAAATTGAAGCGTTCAGTTCCATGCAAGTGTAACATTGTTGTATAATAATGTCAAAAGTGCATATATGAGCTACAGCAACCATCTGAAGTGTGCCCGAGGTAGGAAGAAAACTCATTCCCCAAGCATTGAACTCCAAGTACATTCCTAGTCACTGTACCACCATAATCCAGATCACCAATCCTTAACGCTCCTATGTCCAGTATTCCAAACAATGCGGTTATGCCCAAGCTCTGATGTCAATCAGTTACAGGACACTAGGTAAAATAATGGGACGATTTTAGCTTTCCATACAAGCTCTCAATTAATAACCACACCTTACAAAACCAACTGAACTGTAGCAAATCGTGGAAATCCCATCCTCAATATCCTAATGCACAATCCCCAGATGACCGCACAATCCCAGATAAAAGGGCGAGATAATTGAGTCTTCAAAAACAAAACAAAACAGACTAAGCAGGTCATATCGTTCATTGAGAGTCTGAGCACTTGAGAAGGAACCCCAAAGAAATCAGACCGTACAGCAAGCCATCATCATTGATACATGCCTGGGAGTGTAACTGTGTTAACCTGAACTTAACTGATTTGCTTATTAGAGAATGATTAGATACCAAATATTCAGACCAATGAAGGTTACAGAACAAAGATGATACTTCAGTAAAGATTGTTAACCACTATTTTAGGCTAAAACAGCAGCAATCTTTGGGGGGGAAAAGGGCCCAGAGTAGGCAACAGGTAATTACGATACAGAAGTAGGCATATTTGTAATTTGGCCAGATATTCTACTAATGCATATATATTGTGCTTTTGACAAAACAATAGAAAAGAACTTGACACATAAGGATTCAAAGCGCAAAAGCTGGAACAGTGTATGTTACCTAGACGGAGAACGTCCTTTTGATGCAGACCTTGAACGGGAACAAACAGACCTCAACCGGGACCTAGATGCTGAACGGCGAGTCCTGGGTGGTTTGCTGCAAAGTATATTCTGTGTTAGTATTAGTTATCAACAAGGTTACCCATGACATCTCAGTACCGCAGCATACCTCGGGCTCCTGCTTTTGCTGTAGCTACGACTTGGGCTTTGGCGACGTGAGTAGGAGCGACCACGTTTGGCATCATATTCCTTCACCTGTAAAGAATAAGGTGCATGCTTAACAACGAACTACATAAATGATCCCCAGGACTAAACCAGCAACAGGATGTGATGCTTACCCTTATATAGGCTCGCCCAAAGGCGTTCCTGAATTTAGTATCATCCAGCTTCTTTATCTACAACAGGTTGTCAATGACAAGAGCATAGTTCAAAGCATTAAGAGCACATTTTTAGGGCTATTGTAGAAGAGATTGAACTAACAATGACAGATAGGGAAGCAATCAAAGATCAGGGATTGTAGAAGGTCAAAAGTAGATACATGAAAAAAAAAACTATAGAATGAAATGATTCACCCTAAGACGGAAGGGAATGTATTATGGACTTACAGCATATTTCATATCATCATAATCTGTGTAGTCCACAATTCCTTTGGTGCCTGTAACAAAATAGAAATATATGATAAGAACTTGAAAAAGAAAAGAAGTGTTAAGAACATAGATAGCTTTACATCATATTCCTTGAAGAAAATAAGGTTGAAAACCAAGCAATCGAATGAAATAAACCTTCACAATAAATAATAAGAGATGCTAGTAATCATGTTATGTGGCATTTATATGCGCCCAAATCCTAGAATAAACAGCAATGATGAGTACTTTTTTGGACACATCAGATATGGGAAGGCTAAGTAGGTGCTCTTTCTAAAACTTGATAAGAAGTCATCAAAATGGACGTGTCCGTATTCCAGATCAAGGGGAGAGAGATTATTGATGAAACGATGGTCTTTTATGGCGATTGAGAATATAGGATGTGTGATGAATGTCCCTATAAATTGTGGGCAGCTTACAGTTTCACCAACAAAATAAGTCCATTTGCAAATTTTGAACGCAATATCCCTCAAGCTGCTTGAATCATAGGGATTAAGTATGGCAAGCACATTACTTCAATAATGGCTATGAGCTTTAGTTATTGTCCCAATACATTTGATTCATTCAAGTGGTGCTAGCATGCTAAAATTGTTGTTGTAGTACATTGGGTTATTATGTACCCAAGCAAGCTTGAACTTTCTTGTGGCAGTATCATTCTTGCAATCCCAAGCATTTTTCAACCGTTCCTAAATTACCTTTAACTAAACAGTTAGTATTTTATCAATCAATATTTAAAAATATCAAGAGCTAATAGTTTTCTGTTCTGAGAAATGAAAATACTAAGAGAAAAATAAAATGGAACACAGGGCACCTCGTATAACCATATATGGATCCCCAGTATGTAACAGGATATGTGCCATTAGTTTTGTCACGACGATGACACCAAAGGGGCAGAAAGATCAAACCTTATTGCTTTTGAAAAAAAATGCACCGCAAAAATATTTGTGCACCTCTGCTTCTAAATATTTCTGTTGAACATTTCCAAATTGTAATAAAGGCAGCGGCTTTAACCCAAATGCTACTTACCACCGCCTTCGCGATACACTTCAGAGAAACAAACATCACCAGCCTTCCGCATATGATCCTGGGAAGAATATATTTGGTGTTAACGAGACAAACAATACAGTCTTATGGAAGAACACGAGGGAAAAAGTTTTGCCTCAGACCTTTAAATCCTGTCATGATGCAGAAGAAGGCAGTCCAGTGACAAGAATTGTTGCCATGATTCAAGTTAAAGGTTGCAGACAGAGAAGAGAAGAGCAATCACTGATGTTCAACATGAATAGAAACCATACCACGATACTCTGAGTGTCTCGGCACACCACGACGTGCTCCACCACCACCACCAAAGCCACTTGAATGATCATACGAGGAAGTATTACCTCTACCACCATGAGCAGCCTCCACCTGACCACAGAAGTAGGCATTGGATCAACAGATTGAAGAGAAAGAGAGCAATCATGTAGCTTATCAGAGCACTGATTAGCTTACTCTTAGACGGTGTCCATCAAAGTTGTATCCATCCCGCCCAGCAATTGCATCCTCAGCATCACGAGGATCTTCAAACTACAAGATTAGCAAAGTACCTTAAATTTGTTGTTCGTGACCAAAGTCATCAACCAAAACACGATAATCTTTTGAGGGGAAAAGATGACCATGTTATTCAACACATTCACATGAATCTTACCTCAACAAAAGCATAACCAGGTGGCCTTGGGGGGACCTTCAGGTCGATGTCAACAATTCTACCATACTGCGTTCACAAGTTTTATAAAATTGGACATTATTAGTATAAAACCATGCAACCTTTCAAATGAACAACAACTATAAGCAACATTCTCAAGCGCAAGCCATAGCTTGAGGTTCATAGTGAATGTAGCAGAGGAACTTGGTGGACCCTGATAGCACAAGGTTATCCAAGCCACCAGTTTTCTACGATTTATGGGCAAGGCCATAAGAGCACGGCAGTGCATCGCATCCTATTGCATTAGGAAAGTAGTATAAGCATCGGAGGTACTAAATCTAAGAAGCACACAGCAAGTGAGCCCAGCCTAATACGGTAAGACGGGTTGCGCACTTTGCTAATGATTAATAGGGTAGCAAGGAATCAAACAATTAAAAAAATTCCCCACCTTCTAGAACAGATCCTCCACCTCCGTCTCCCGGATGTCGCCGGGGAGGTTGCTGACGTAGATCGTGCGGCTCCAGCGCCTGCTCATCCTTCACCGCTGACCTACCAACAAAGCAAGAAGGGAAGAATTAATCAGCAAATCAGCCCCCGACGCGTCCGCGTCCGCATCCACATCTACGCAACCCGACACGACACCCCACAAGAAAACAAATCTAGAAGGCAGCGGGGCACGAACCACCCGAGGAACGATGAGGAAAGGAGATTCCTACCTGAACAGCTGTGGCCGGAGGGAGATAGAGGTTGAGGCTAGGGTTCCGCTGTAGCGACTCTCGGCCCTTCCACTGCAGAACGCGAGGCCGTCGCTGCCAGCCAGCCTGCCGCAGTCACATCAAAGAAAACCAAATCACTGAAGCACAGGTATTGTGAAGATGCAGAGAAGGACAACGAGGACAATGGTGTGATACCTGACCTGGGCGAGTTCAAACCTAGCTGCCAGCGATGACCTCACCGGCACCAGCACCGGATCTGGTGGGTAGATCGACGGATACGGCCACGGAGTCACCGGAGCAGCGCCGGGGGAGAGCAGGGGCTCGGACACCGCCGCGGCCACCGGCGTTGGACGGCGCACCATGGCGCCGTGCCGGGGGACGCCGCTGCGCCGCGCACAGGGTGCGGGGAGCCTCGGCGGTCGCGACGAGGAGCGAGGGAGAGAGTGAGAGCGCGGAGAGGAGAGAGAGGAGGGGAGGAGCGGAGCTGCTGCTGCCTGCCATTCACTCGAGATAGAGAAAGATGAAGGAGCACCATTTTACGTGTGACGACCACGGTGGAGCCCAGCTCTGCAAAGCAAACAAGGCCCAGCAGTATGCATGCACGCATGCGTGCCGCCCACTAGTTAGGCACCGACCATGCATGTCGAGAATCCACCTTTCTCTGCTACGCGCCACCGTCCATTTGCATGCCGCCTACGATCAGAGGAAGCCGTACTTCATTTAATGCATGCAGTTGCTTCATCTATCTACTGCGGAATGCACGGATGAAGGCCGGTTGTGACACGCCTCATCTGTGCCGTGGAATCTCTATCTAACGCAGCAAATAAAAAGAACGTACGTGGACACCCTGGGAGGCTGCCGATTCGGCGTGCCTTCATATCTTTAATGCATATCTGCAGACCTATGCAATAATTTCTGGGGAAGTACTTTCAACTGACCAGGTACCCATACAGACGCTACATGTCTTTGTTTTGTTTTGGTAATTGAAGAATGAAACCTTTTAGCCTAATCTTCTGTCTTACTGGCATAGTATTGTTTTTTTTTTTAACAATTCACAGGGAAAGGCACAAGGGTTCGTCGGAACCATGCAGTCCATGGCTACATTGCTGGCACCTCTATACATGAGCCCACTGACTTGTTAGCACTATTTTACAAATTCATAATTCCTAATCCTATGGACTGACTCTACACGCTCCATTCTATATTGAGTGTATTCTGGTCTTATCCTTTTCCATGCTTGTCTTTCAGCTTACTTCATTTCACCCGAAGCCCCCTTCAACTGCAGAGGATTCAGTTTCCTTATGGCTGGTTTCTTCTTGGTTAGAACCTTTTCTCCTCTGCAGTATGGTTAATATGGCTTTACAACTGGATATCTAAACATGGGAGTTTTTCTAATGCTAAATACATTTACAGGCAATCTCCTTATGCTTCGCTTGGACGCTTACTCCAGAAAGAGAGAACAAATGCTCCGAAATTGCTGTTTCAGGCCAGCCTGATGAGGAGGCAGAGCAAGCACCTCTTCTGGCTAATCGTACTGCTAACACCATCTGCTGCTAATCAGATAAAAAGCAAGAAAGTATTTGCTTGCACCATCTGCTAATAGTACTGCTAACACCAATTTAGAACTGATATATCCAAGCTAGTGTGCATACAAAAAAAGCCAGCTGAAAACCTGCAGTGCGTCACTAGTGTTTCTGCACACAAATTTAGCTGCAGAACAGTACCGGCAAGTTTAGTGCATGTTGGTGGTAGTATGGCAGCATCTGCAATTCTGGTTGCAGTTGCAACGGTGCAGCATAGCTAGCGATGGTAAAAGTGATAGCTTCTTTTCATCTTACATGTAACCATCAGGAGCTCATGTAACACTAAGCCGTGCTTGATAATGCGTGTACCTTGTCAGATGATGCTAATTTTGGAATTCCTGTGAGACAATTTCATCAGTTTACTACATGTCTCTCCTTATATATGCGTTGAATAGTCGTAAGGCAAAAGGAGAATTCAGTTAGCAATCTTTTTTGTTTTTTTGAAGTTGTATATGCAAAGCGAAGGCCTTAGACATGCTGGAAAGAGAATCGGTTTCCTGTTTCCAAATATTTCAATGCGTGTAATGGTCTATCCTCACTGAAGTCTACATTTCCATTTCTGCCTTTTCAGCATCAGTTTTAGGCTGTCCGTGTTCCAGACATTCTTGTGTCCCATCCATTAGCAGTAAACAGATCTCATTTCTCAACTGATAATTTACAAGTTGCATTGCATTGGTAGCAAGTTAAAAACTGATATCTATCTGGTCAGAAAATGCGGCGGCCGATGAGACATGTGCTCAGTTTAATACAGGAGCTACGGAGTCCTGTTCCTGTCTGCACTTTGCTGCGTCAGGAACAACTCAGTCATCATCACTTACGTGGCGTTCATGTTTGCATGCATTAGCATCACTAAATTGTATGTTTATAACTGGCATCTTGTTCCGACACGATGAATCACTGATGGAATCAGAGCGACACGCAGTCTCGGCACGCAGCACGTCGCTAGCTAATTGACACTTGTGTTTCTGATACTCCCACTTGGCAACATGTCAGAGGCTTGCGACGTGCACAGTGTCTCATCTTGGTATATACTATTGCTAGCGTGGCAAGAACCCACAAAGAAGAACTAATAAAGTATCAAAGCAGTTGCAACACAAGAACATAACCAGTTAAAGTGACATGGTTATTGATTACAGTTTGCAGCATGGCATGCATACATGCGTGGTTGCCTTATTAACATGCAAAGTATATATTTGCGTCCGTAACTTGGTCAGCCATTTGAGGGAAGATGGTAGCTCCTCTAACAGTGATACTGTGATCTGGTAGTGGTTAGCTTGGTTGGCTATTTGTTCACAGCTCTTTTTTCAGAGTTTTTGTTCAACTTTAATTTTGAAGGCCACAAAAGCTAAGCCACCTGTCTATTATCTTTATATTATAGTATTTACTAAGAAATAAGCCACTGCATTCGCTTTAATAAGAGCTAAAAGTCAACCCTCTTTATTTCAAATTATAAGACAGTTTAGCTTTTATAGATACACTATTTTCTTATATAGATATATTTTATATCTAAGTGTATAGTAAAAATTATATATTTTAAAAAGACAAAACATACATCTTATAATTTGGTACGGAGGAAGTACCGATTCATCGTAAAAAAAGGAGAGATCTATACGGAATGTTTTATTTTAACAAAATAAAAAATAAAAAAAACTGTAGTGTGTCACTTACGTGACTCTGTTTCTGCACACAAATTTAATTCTAGATCAGTACCGACCAGTTTAGTGCATGTTGGTGTTGGCATGGAAGCATGAGAAATTATGTCTCCTGTAGTCCTGTTGCAATAGCTTCATTCCTTGGCGGTGAAAGCAATAGCTTCCACTGTTGTGTCCCTCAAAAGTGCATATGTCACTTTGAACAGTGCTTCATAATATTGCGTACCCTGTCGGATGATGCTAATTCTGGAATTTGTGTGAAGCAACCAATTTACTATTCGTTTTCCAACTTATCTAGTAGTTGTTGGTAGGGATGAAAATGAACGAGGTCGGTCAGGATAAATCCTCTCCTATTTTCACTTATATATTTTTATTACAAAAACTAAAAAAACGAAGTCGGGAAGACCGAAAACGGAGCAGAAATAGGATTCACTGAAAATTGAAAACGGAACAATTTGAATGAGAATATGTCGATAATGATCGAGATACGAAAAGACAAGATAGAAACATGGACACATAGAACCAAGAAACATGACTTCACGTACTTATCTAATTAACCTACTTGGCATGACAACACTGTCAACACATAAATAATTCTAGTTAATAATGCTATAAGGTTTATAGTGAAGACCTGGAAGTTAAGGGCCTTCGTTGATTGTCCCTTTCGGTTTATAGTTAGGTGTGTTGTCATCATATTTGGACAAGTTTTCTAAAGTTAGTTTTGGTATGTGTTTACTAAACTATCCACATTTCCTGTGTCGTGTGGGTTTAGTGTACTCTTATTTATTTTCTATCAAAATTGGATTTACTTCTGCCAAAAAAAATATCACCTGTGACTTACTTGGTTCATTGGTTCCCAAATTGATAGTTGCTAATAATAGTGCTTGATAATGATTATCGTGTCAGATGATTCTGATTATGCCTGAAATTGGGCTGAATTTATCTCACTGGTTTGCTATCCGTTTCTCATGATCTAGTTCTAGGTTAAATATGTTTCATACACAAATGCAGTGTTCTCGGTCCTTTAATTTGCTTCACTTCGGATATCTCTTTCTTTTTAACAATCGTTCATGGTTGTCCTTGTCGCAAACCTTTTTGCACCAATCAGTAGTGAACACGTTGCATTGCTCAACACCTCGATTCATCGCTTGCATTAGCAATTAAAAAGACGGCAGCTATATTTAAAGACAGGCTGCTCTCATTTCGAGCTCTGCAATCATGCCGTCCAAATGAGCAGCATGCATTCCCGCTGCCTTTCTCCACATCATATCTGCACGGAGATCATGCGAATGCGAAGCAGACGGCGGCCGTCACGGAGTTCTTTATTGACGACGACGCAACTTGCTGATGACCCGACCGTCGGGTCGAATTCCAGAGAGTTGCGAGTCTTTTTGCAGGGACGAAATCACGGGGCAATACAGTGTGATATGGAAGACAAATTGAACAGCTAGCTCGGCAATCAGATCCCTTCTTGGGCGTGTCAATGCATGCATGCTTTACAACATGATAAGATACTTGCTGACCTTTTAGTTTACCGCACTCATTGGTCGTATTATAGGTACTCTATATATATATATATATATATATATATATATATATATATATATATATATATATATATATATTGGTATATGGACTCCACTGAATACCTAAATATATCTATTCTGTGTTCTCTGTACCGAGATGGGAGGCTGCAATGCGTGTATCTGAATCCTTTGCATCGATCGGAATCCACTGCGGCACATATGCCCATGTGAGATCAGTGTACTTAGGGCTTCTCCGGTAGCATTTTTAAAGCGACTCATGAGATTATTTTATTTGGCATGGGTTGATTCAAAGAACGCTAAAGTAGACCGATACATGCAGTGTGTCATGAACCAACCACCAAACATGAGCCGATTCATACCAAATAAAATAACCTTCTTGCCGCAAGAAGAGGAGGAGGAAGGGAATGAAGGTCGTCACGCGAGTGTCCTCAGGGAGTGAAATGTTTTTTTTAACTTGGTTGACCCACAAGAAGAGTCGTATACCACTGGAGATTAAATGGAATCGACTCAGTTGCATCCATGCGTGGCCTCGGTGAGTCGATCCACCACTACGCATGCATGCCCTTAGGAGCTATTTTGTTCGGTGTTTTTGCCCCCCACAATGTTTCTCACCGTCATCGGATCCGGTAACTTTATATATGGTTAGACTAAGCCGGAATCGATAATGGAGGGATCGGATAGGTGGAAGTGCAATGCGGTTACCACTCAACTAGCGGGGTGTTATTCGATTAGGGTGCGCAGGAGCGAGCGACTCCTCGCGAGTTTGGAGTCCTATGCACCGAGGACTCTAGGTCTCCAACTTCTCTCTCGTATCCTTGCCGATAAAGGCTGCTGATCTCCATCCAGCATACGTACGCTGCTTAGGCAAACAGAAACCATTTCGAGGTGCCAACAAAACAAATCACGGTTTTAGTTGCATGGTAACGGATGGCACTGGTTTCCCATTACATTGTCGTTGCCGGTCCTAGGGCCAAACCAAACAGCATCTTAGTATGTCAAGTTTTTTTTTTACCAAATTGATATTAAAAAATATACTAATATTTATCGTATTAAATAGGTATCATTAGATTAGTTATAGAACATATTTTCACAGTATATCTATTCAAAGTTCTCTATGTTGATACTATTTTTGTAAACTTAGTCAAACTTAAAATGATTTAGTTTTGATCAAATCTAAAATTGCATTCTTTTTTGACAAACATAATACTAGTAAAGAGACAGAAACTACTCTTACCTAGCAAGGCAAAATACAAAATAATGTATATAATAAACTCAGTGGAGTGTTCAAAAAGGATAATAGAAGATGAAGAGAAGCAGTAGTGGATGGGTAGAATATAAGGGCATGTTTCTTTCCATTTTTTGGTAGCTTCAGTCAACAAGAAAATGAAACGAACAATTAAACGTCGAGCTAGCTTTTGAAAAGCTCGAAAGTTTGCTTATAAGAAAATGAACTAAAAGCTGAAAAAAACGTTCAAAGGTAACTCTAGCTTTTGGTTCGCTGAGAAACTAAAAATTTATTACAAACAAAAGTCAAAAACTAAAAATTTATTACAAACAAAAGTCAAAAACTGATTGCCAATAGTGAGAAAACCAGTTTTTGAACCAAAAGCGTAAAAGCTAAACTCAAACACCCTAACAGCATGTGCTGTCACTGGCATTCTACTCGTACTATATAAGGGCGTCCCCAGCAGTCGTGAAATCACTAGCAGAGATGATTGAGCTTCTATTGGCCCGTGAAGGGAGAGAGTAAGAGCCTCTTTGGCAGGGCTCCTGCA